GGATGTTTCAGAGGACAAGCCAGCACTTTGGGCCGTGCTTTTGGGAGCGCTAGCCTATGTGAATGATTGGGTTAACATCCGTGGATCGCCAAACTGCAAGCTGGTCATTCGTCCAGAGCTTGGCCCCAACAAGGGGTACATCTCCCTCGTGTGCGAGACCAAAACGCAAAATGGCATCGGCCCTGGGAGAGAGCTGGTGATCTCGTATGGCAACGAGTACAACCACAATGCTCCCAGTTCTGATGGCAATGCGCCTCGGCGCCCATGGCAATCTTCTCGGTTTTCAAAAAATGGAAATGCTTCCCACTTACACGAAGCTATCGGCATACAATTGTTTCCCCATATGTGCGCCACCTTTTTACGTAGCAAGTAATACTCCTTGATGAGGATCCCTGCGTAGCCACCACTGATCCCTGACTAGCCTGGTCATATGTCCCAGAAAAACCTTGCTCCACATGTTTTCCCTCTCTGCGTTCCAAGTAGCAACCTCCACAAATCAACGCATCCTGCGCAGCAAAGGAAGCGCACTCTCCGCTGAAGAAGTTCAAAGGCGCGCTTGCTGCACTCTTCGAGAAGCAGGCCGCAGCAGCAAACCCTGGGCCAGCGCCAATGCCACCAGCGCCGACACCTGCCCCGGCGCTGCCAGCCCCTCCACCAGCGTCAGGGGCACCCACACCACAGCCCACAGCTCAGCCGGCACCAAAGCCGGCACCAAAGCCGGCCCCTGCACCACAGCCGGCGCCGCCTGCGCCAAAGCCGGCGCCTGCACCAAAGCCAGCGCCGGCGCCACCACAGCCAGAAGCGCTACAGCACACGCAGCAGCTTGCGAAATTTGAGAACCCTCCTTGCGCTCTACTCGCCTCCACCGACACCGAGACCCCAACCCTGCACCTGAAGAGCTTGTGCGATTCAAACAAAGTCTTCAAGAAAGAGCAGGTGTTGTGGAGGTGCGGCTCTGGGAAGCTTGTTGTGAACGCAGCAGCTTCCTCGCCCCATTCGTGGGTGCCGAAGCCTTCCTTGCAAGTGGTTGATGGAGGGAGCAACAAGTTGACCACCTTGGGAAAGATGGTGAATGACAAGAGCACATTGACGGTCTTTGGTGCGGTGATGGATGGAAAGAAATGGTCACTTTCCCATGCTTCTGCCCCGCACTTTGAGCCACATGACCAAGCTCAAGCTGCCATTCTTGCGACGCTAGTGAAAGCTACAGCGACGTTGCGCTGCTGTTCAGTGCTTTGGGAGGTCAAGGTGAACAATGGCACAATCTCGCCAAGCGCAGTGGTTTTGTACCAGCAGAAGCAGGTCACGATCCCGGCCTCGAGCTCGCTACAGCCCCCTGCCTTTAGCGGAGGGAGCTTTTGCGATCAGGGTTCAGCGTGGTGTGCTTGATTGATATTTGCACTGCCCCTGTCTTTTGTTTTGGGGGAAGTGCTGCGTCAAGTTGGGAACATGCTGCATAGGCTCATGTGTGATCACGAGAGTCTAGGTCCTTGGGACCTAGCTGGCCAAATCAGACAGCAGTAGCTCACCGACAAGCAGTAGTTGTCTAATTGGCGGCTGTCCATATTTATTGATCATCTCTTATACATACATATGTTACGAACTATGTATAATGCAGAGATGTACGAAGCCATATTTTTTAGGTGAGTTGAGAGAGAACGAAGAAAATGCAGGCGCTTGAGAAAGCCAGCCAAGCCCCAGGTTGGACTGAGATGGCGATCAGCTCCGATCGACAGTGAGTGATGCCGCGCGCGGCCCGCAACAGTTTTCGACAGCACCATTGTTTCTTCGGACACGTCTCGATACTCGTTCCCTTTCAACACCTGTGTCATGAGGGAAGCCAATGGACCCACAAAATGCTAGCCTCGCAACTCTTACAAATCCGAAGGTTAGACAGAGCCAGACCCTTTTTCCAATGTCAAGCTTGTGAGCGCAACGCCGAAAGCTGCAGACGAAAAGGTTGCTATACTGCACATGTCGGCCACTTTTCTGACTGGAGCGCCACCTTTGTGATGCCAGTCAGAGCTGCACGCCGCAAACCATTTTAGCCATTTGGGCAGCAGCGAGCCGCGCCACGGGCACACAAGCAAGGCGAGAAGCCCGGTCAGCTTTTGAAGCAGTGCGTGCATGTTTGTGAATTTGCCCAGCATGTTGATTTGCTTCAATAGTGAGATTTTTGCTCGACTCCCCGGTGTGACCTTAGCCTTCTGAAAGCTCTTGACTCCATGGCTGTGACTGGCTATTTCGCTATTCGTCCACACCAGTACGACCTCGAACCCTTGCCATGCCTCCATGCCCCCATCTTCAGGGAGAGCATGCTCAGGAGCATTCGTGACTTGTTGGTGCGGGAAGGGCGCAAGCTTCAGTTCCAGCTGAGCGGCGCCGAAACTCCACGAGCTTCTGCCCGCCCCCTGGGTGCTCCTCCGAATTGGCCGCTGGGTGCGCGCTAATTTTTAGATAGGGGAGAGGTCACTAAGCCTCAGCCATGACAGCTATATGTTCTTTCAACGACCGTTCATTCTTACCAATTTGAACCTAACAGACACGTCGTTGTGCAGAAGTTTGATCTTCAATGAGTCATGCAGCAAACGCAAATGGCTCAAATTCTTCCCAGAACACTTCGCCTCTCTTGGGCCAATGTGGTGTTCGCACATCAATATGATGCTGAGGAAATCGGATGGCTTTATGGTACTCGCCTTGCACATCGATGACTTCCAGCAGGCGTTCCGACAAGGCCTTGTCAGTCAAGTTGGCGGCGGCGGATTTACCATGAAGGCGCTGGACCTTCGCAGCTTTGGGGATGGGCATTCCGGCTGCAAGTGCTCACTCAACATCCTCTCAGTGAAGCTGCGCACTGAGAAGGTGCAGACTGGCGATGAGGAGCAGAACGTCGATTTGCAGAGCGCCAAGTGGAAAATGATGACCTCGGACGCCGAAGGTGTTGACAAGCTGGTTTTCAAAAACTTGTGTACCTCCCGGAGCCTTTATTGCAAAGCTTGCATGGTAGGGGGCGGGTTGGCGGGCATCTAAGAGGCCTGCTGTTAGAAGAGGGCTTCAATCGTCAAGCAAATCAGTTGCACCTTGCTGGGCTTACCTAAATCAAGAAGGTTAGTTTTGAAATGTTGGGCAGACCACCTTGTGAATTTTGAGTTCTCAGGACCTTCACTGGTAAACAGCGTGATGCGTTGCAGGGGTGTCGCTGCTTTTTCGGCTCCATCGATGACGCGATGATTCTCTCTTTCCTCGCCACCCTGGGCGAGCGGGATCAGTTGCTCGGTGTAGTAGGTCTTATTTTGGCGAGGCGGAGTGTCTATGGACTTCGTTTTCATGAACTAGCCTGTGTTGCACTTTGCTTTTATGGGGGGGCAGGTTCACAATCTCTGTGCACACGCCCCTGGACATCGGCAATGTGACCTACATCCCCAGTCGTACCAGCCCACTTGCTGACCATTGGGTGCTGGCTGATGGTGTGCCGTTTCCAGAGCCAGCTTGCAAGATGGCTTATAAGATGGACGCAGTGGTTCTGAAAAGCCAGCCTTTGCAGCAAGTGAGGCAGCAGATGAAGGAGATCAATGTCAAACAGGAGCTATCGGCAGTGAATGTCGAGATCCAGGGTTTGGAGCAAGACCTCGTGTGGCTCCGCTCCAAGCAAGCTACCTTGCAAGCAGAGTTGGCGCAGGAGGATCCTTCGAAGGAGGGCCCGCATCATCCTGAGCAGGGTGACGCAGAGGCCCCGGCTGAGGCTCCGAAGACAGGCAAATTTGAGACACCTGAGAAGCATGCTGCCAGATCTTCGACTGAGCCTGAGGATGCGCTGTGCCAGAAGCGTGCAAAGCTGGGATCTGACCAGTGAGTGTGGCACGAGACTCTCTCATGAGACCTTTTTTGGCGTTTTTTGAGCGGTGAGCAAGACGCCGCATTGAGGGGAGAAAAATGTTCAGGTGGCCTGTTTCGTGGTAGACCGCTGCGCGGTGGCGACGTTTGCATGTTGTTGCTTCTTTGACCTGGTTTTGCCAGTGGCTTTCTGTGTGCAGAAGAAACAGTCGAGTCTAGGCCTCGAGGCTTGCTCCGTTCTTTTGTCTGCAAGCACCTAACTTCAGATTCAGCCGTCTTTCCGGTGCAATGTGCATATCTTCTTTCTTGCTTGGAGCTTTGTGCATGTTTTACCATTGACTTCTCACCAAAATCAATACACAGGCGAAGGATCTATGTTGTAAGGCAAGTCAACCTTCGCTTGCGTTGAGCGTCGTTTGCCTTCTCATCCAGTTGCTTTTTGCAGGCGGGCCTGGAGCCAAAGCGCTTCTAGGGAAGAAGCGCGCAGAGGCACGGGCAGGACAAGTTTTCTATGGGCCTTCTTTGTTTGCGACCCGAATGTCTTTCTATTGCTATTTTTGTGTAGCCGGATGCTGTTGGAAGGTGTTTTCGCCATTGGTTTCCACAAAAAGAACACAGGTGAAGAGTCCAGTAAGACTTGACAGCCCACCTTGTGTTGCCATGATTATCGTTTGGTTCCTCATCCACCTGCTTTTTCCCAGGCGACTGTGTGGCGCAAGCGCTT